TTATGACATTAAAATTGTGGTAAGCCAATATAAAATGAGGGAGAAAGGAACGGCAAAGGAGAACGGCAAGAAAAATCCTGGCTGTGATTTCCATTCTCCAACCTTTGCTAACATAGTTACTAATATTATTTAATTGGGTTTGTGATGGAACACTCACTTAAGTTCTCACTTAAATATAGTCCCTCCAAAATAAACTCAAAGCCAAAATAAACAGTGGGAATGTAGCTGAATAAAGTGAGAAAAAGCTAAACACTACTCGTCCTCTGCAAGCGTTTTCTAAACTTTACCCTTATAAAATGGGGCAAAAAAAACTCGATCAGAGCTTGTATTTCAGACTTAAACTTTCAAAAGAAGCAGCATGAAAAATTTAGTCACACAATTTTTCATATGTAGTTTGCCGTTCAAAATTCCAAGTATGATGTTCATAAACAGGAAATATAAACCATATAAAATGGTTGACTTAAGCCTACCAAGACTTGCATACAGCTTTTCTAAAGCAGCTGCATAAAAACAAAGAGCCAAAACTTGTTGGCTTTGCCAAAAGAACACACATGAAAACATACAAGAAAAACATGTTGTACAGTACAAACAATTTTACTAATTTCCAAGACTTTATTCTGATGACCAAAAGCTCAAGAACAACCCCTTCAGTTATCCTGATTCCTCATACCTCTCCAAGCACCATATTTTGCTTGTTTAGACCGTACCTCCCTCTACTTGAACTTCAAGGAATGTTATGGGATTATATTCTCACCCTATTTAAGAATTTTCTACTCAAAGGTATATTTTATTCCTATGCTATACACCAATATGATAATTACAGAAAACATACACGTATCCAGACACAGGTTAGTACTTCTTTTATCCATATATGCTCAAGGCAACATTCTTAGACCATCCATGGAAATGATAAGAATCTAAATGCTTCACCAACAGTCACTATGATCTTTTTAGATCCAGTAATTACCATATTGCATACTCTCTGCAAAGTTAAACATAGACCCATCTTCCTCAAAAACGGTCAATTCACTTGCAGCAGTTACAAAAAAGTCAGAGAACGTACACTGCCGTATTAAGTAATACATAGTAATGCATTTCCTAGCATTGAACTGAGTTTTTATACCATAAAATGAAATATTTTACTGTTACAAAACTTGATATTATTAAAGAAGACTACATTATTAATTACTAGTTTCGGCTGTGCATAGTTAGCTTCAGCACAGCATTGAACCTATTTTAACATCATCCCAAGATAGTTCAAAATTAAAGGAAAAACAGTGATACATCCCTGAGAATATGATTTATCATTTCATTAGTTTCTCAGTTAAAAATAAATTTGCCACCAACTTTAAAGTCTTAGTATTTTGATTTCTAAGTATTTTTAACATGTTTTGGTTTCTCTTTTTAACAGAGGACAACATGTATTTCCCACTACACATTTTTCAAAATACAGATGGAAAGGGAGTAAGAATTCACAAGACATAACATTGTTATACAATGTACTATACAAAAACCTGTCATTTAAGTTGCAAGAAACCTACTCATCAATAAGTGGAAAAAAATACCCTGCTCAAAAATCAATTATCTTGAGTCTTTTGTATAGAGAAGTAGTACACCTTTCAGGCAACTGGTATTAATGAGCAGACGTGGCTATAGAATCTCCATCTGTTTTTCTGACAAAGCTGTGACTACTCCAGTCTCTCATTGAAATTCCATTAATCTGGTGCACCAAGGACCAATGCGAAAATCAAAACTCCATCTAACCCTTTATCAGCTCACAATAACCTACAAGTGAACTCTGCCTGTTAGCATACAGCAAGTTATGATTTTGCTATCAATCAGGCGGTTAGCCAATAAAAAAAAAAAAATCAAGTTAAGAACAGAATACCTGGCAGTGCTGTTCTGTTTTGTCTGTCTTGTTTTGGGGTTTGTTATTTTATTCGGGTGGGGGAGTTGTTGTGCTTTATCCCTCTTCCAGTTTCTGTAGGGTGTCTGGACATGTAAGCCTATGCATCATTCTCCTTCCTTGTGATCTAATTGCTGCCAGCAATCAAGTCAAAGCATCACTGAAGTGTGCTTGAATTTCATTAGAAGATATAACTTATGCTACTTTCCTACAGTACCTAATAAACCATAAAGAAACCAAAACACATATGGCTTGAGGGAATAACTGGAAAATTAGGTGGCCATTTGGGAACTGAGTGAACTTTTGAACCAGAGGAACAGAGAAAAAGAAATATTAAAAGGAAAGACAGACTTAGAATGCACACAGAGATGTGGGGGTTTGACCTTTTCAGTACCTAGAAAATTACATTAGCATTATGAAAAATACATATCATGTTTAGAGTTTATAATCCATCAAAGTTTAGATACTTTGTTAGTGCCTACCATAAGGTAAAAGTCAAAAGGACAACATAACAATCAGATTTGACAAAAGGCCTTTAGGTGACCTGTGCTAATTTAGTTATCCCATACTTATTGTTAAATGGATTATCTCTCTGGTAATTAATACACCATTAGACAAAGGTCACACAAAAACTCCAGGTTTTTACAATGACTGTAATGTACACGTAATACACTAATTCCTTATCTGTTACCAAATGGGTGCCTTCACAAATTTTATTTTGACAGTAACATTGCAAAGTCAAATTGTGATACTTGCTGAGGTCGTACAAACCATAGTCTAATGCACACACACAGACAAAAAAAATCTATTTTTAATGGAGAAAGTACACATAGGCTTATAAAAAAAAAGATGAAAGGACTCGAGTATAAATAAGGACCACTTCTCAATTCAATTACCTACTGTTAGTGCTTAAAACCTTCACTCTGCAACTGGAAATGCAGCGAGAATCACACCTGCACTGAGCCCTGCTGACCTGACCTGGTATCCGGGTAAGACAGAGTCCACCTTACGGATCAAGGTACCTGTGTAAGCTTTAAATACTCAGCACTAACAGACTGCTCAAAACCACACTGCTAAGCCTCAGATGCAGGCACATCCCTGAGAAACGAAGCACGCTGCACTCCCAAGCACCAGTGTGCCTCTGATGAGATTCTCCCAACATGCATTTTCATACGTAGTCTAGGGGTCTAGACTTGAATGACAGATTATATGTCTTAAAATCAAAACGTCCTTAGAATGACACACTGCACATTCACAGAGCAAAACAAAAACACTCCTACAATAAGTACATATAGACTAAAATCTGCCTTTTCTCTACTTTTATTCATCCTGAGTACCTACTAGATAATTAAATAGGACTTATCCAAAATTAAAAAGAAAAAAATGTAGAAACACCAATAGGAGGTAACATCATCTTAAATACAACAGAAGTTTATCAACTGTATTTTTACCCACATTGTAACTAATTAGCCAAGATATCGCAGGGAAGCTACTATACCTAATCTCACAATTCCAACTTCTAAAACGGGCTAAAATTTAATCATCCATCTGTACAAACTTGTATGATGTTTCACATTCTCTTGTATCAGCATTCTTCAGTCCTTCACTATAGCTTTATGAACATTTTCACTTTTTTCTTGATTTACAGTTTTGGAACAGATATAATCATATCCCCTATTAAGTATTCATACAAACTGGTCACATATCCTTTATGCAGTCAATACCACACTGGTAAGTTACAAATTAGAAATAATTTTAAGATAATGTTTGCAAGCAAAAACAAATAAATAGGAAGCTACATTCATTTGTAGTTTGGAAAATTAGCTTGGGTTTTAAAAAAGCCATATTCAATTTGACTGATAATTACATTTCAATCTGAAAGCAAAAACACTTATTTTAATTTTTAATAGAAAGTCACATTGCCAAAAGGCAAAAGAAGCTGCATATAAAAGAAAATGTGCGATTATTATCATTACAAATTTTACCGAGTTCTGCATATATATATAAAAAAAAAAAAAAGAAAGCGTTACTCTGAATCAGTGGTTAGAAGGTTTATCACTTATGCATGTACTTGACTTATCCCTGTTCTGCAATAGACATAATTTTATACCTCATAAAAGCAATTTATGTTTCCAAGGGGAATAATCTGGATAACATAAAATGTGGAGTGCTATGTTGCGGGAAGCATATTTTCATTCAGCAATTGTATTTCAAGATGGAGCTGCACAGTTTGATCATCATATCATGTCAGAAAACATCATTCACTAGTAAGTCTATCCAACTTACAGTGCCACAAATTAATATACATCGTTAATTTATTTGTACATATACTTAATTTATCACCATGTATTATCCATATAAGGCTTTTTTATTATGTATATAATAAACAAAACCTTGAAAATATGGACACTATGCTAAAGCAAGCTTGTTAACTGTTGAAATATTCAATTGCTCATATCTTCAAAACAATCACATTTAGCATTAAATTTAATGAATACAGAATAAAACAACATGGAAAACAGCTAGGGAGCTTAGAGGGTTTTTTTTAAAATTTATATAAAGAAAACATTCTACAAAAGACTGTCTTAATGGAAGGAAACATTGTAGGAATAATTAATTTAATATTTTATGAACCTATTCTGCGTGGAGTTTACAGAAAAGTATCAATCATATCAACTGTTTCATTATTTATAAGATAAATAATACAGCAAGCCATTAAGTAGCACAATAAAATTAAGCAAGAATCTGATAATGTTGGATTAACAAACTATTTGTTACTACAAACATTCACACTGCTTTAGCCACCGATCTATCTTTAAAAAGGTATGCAGCTACAGAAGACACTTTGCTATGAAAACACATGAGTTAAAACAGCCTGTGCACTTTGGACAGCTTCACTGTGCCTCTAGGACCACTAGAGAGAGCTCTTCAGTTCCTTAAAAGGTTCTTGCGAAGGTAACGCAGCCGTCCAGCTGTGAGGCTTATCTGTTTATCTGATTCCCAACACTAACATTCTCATCATGAGGATCCGATTACATGAGTTTGTAGCAAACTGGCAAATCTAGTACATTCAAAGATAAACAGTGCCACATACCATCAGAGGGTGCTTCATCCTCTTTATCGTACCGGTCAGATGCTATTGAGACACTGTCAGGAGGTGAAGGTAAAGAGCCCTCTGGCTCTTCCTCATCTTCCAATTCTGCAAAAGTCAAAAACACATGGCTAGTTACAGGTCTATCATACACACGTGGACAGAATCCAAGACTTTCCTTATTGAGAAGTCCTACTTCAAACTGAACAAATGCCAGTTTGAAGGCACTCTCACTCCATGCACCTTGCATGATAAAGCATCCTAGTAAATGCTGCTCTTTTAGACCTACGTCCTCCTTAACCAAGGACTTTTTGTTGGGATGGTTTGTGGGTTTTTGATTGGTTGGTTGGTTTTTTTTTTTTTTTTTTTTTTTTTTTTAATAACACTGTCACATTAATGAACCTACTCCCAGCGCGGCACTGCTGACAGCTCCTCATGCAGAGGGGAAAAAAACCACACACCACAGCAAAGAGGTGGACAAGGGAAAATACTGTCAGGAAGAGAAATAGGCAGTGTCACGAGCAGGAGTTTGCGCACACAGGAATCGCAGCGACCTCCGCCAACACACGGCCCAACTACTTTTTGCAGCCGTTTGTCGCCCTCTGTCCACTTCAACTTTTCTTCAGGGAACAACTTTGCAAATGCAGAACATGCTACATCCCTCCCAGAGGACACAAGCTGGACTAAAACCTGAACCCAGGGCTTAAGGCAGCCTATTGATGTATTTCTGAAAGAGTTGAGAGTCGGGCTACAGCACGTGCAAAAATGCACATTATAAGCCAGCCCATGCACGATGCTGATCGGACCACGTTAAACGTGAAGGTCTGGGAAAGGCAAGCAGAAATCAATATTCCTTGAGGCTTTCATTTAGTTAGACAAATTAAAGTTCTCCCTCCCCACAACGGGGAAATTTTCTAAGATTTTTCATCCCATCTAGGTGAAAAAGCAGTGGAAAAATGCCAAAATTCAGGGAAAAAAAAAAGAACATAAACTACATTCTTCCTTAAAAAAAAAAAAAAAGTCTTGGGGAAGGAGAGAAAAACAGTAATTAAAGCTGATGTTGTCACTAAACCAAAATCGTAAACCTGATGTGCCAATAGATCAAGTGACTCTCAATTTCCTAAAAGAGCATATAAACCTAAATTGCTCGGGCATTTTATTTCAATATATTTATACGCAGAAAGCTATCCAGAGACCTCTGGATAAGCTTCTCTGTTCAGGTATTCCCTGGTCAAGTAATGTATCGGGTAACTAATTTCTCAGAATCGCAAATAAACCACATACATAGTGAGGATATTCTGCACCACACACGTATGAACCACAGCTATCCGCAGGGGTGTCTAACCACGGTTTAGAGTTTTGCTACTTTCCTTCCTATTTAATAATACAAATTCATGGAAAATTCGGGGTCTGCCCAGAAAGCACTACAGATCTTAGCAAAGAGAAGCACGTTTGCTCTGTGGATAGGAAAGCAAAGCCCGATTTCTGCTTTGCTGGATTTTTTTTTACATTCCAAGATTGTGGAATATCAAATGGGATTTTCCTTTCATTGCATACTATGTTTTTCTTGTGAAAGCTTCCCTTCAAGCTCCAGCACCATATAACAACTGCTCAGAAAATGGCACTGACTCCAGTCTATTTTTGATGTGACCATCTTCCAGTAGCACTCCAGCCATCGTGTTAATCTGATTCAAAATATTTGCATTTCATCACACCTGTCAAACCAAAAGTAAATTACCCCTCTCCAGAAGGATTCTCCTATCCCTCCAGAGAAAATCAGCACATGAGAGCACATGAACAGAAACCATTATGCCATATTTACAACCTGCATGATCATCTTTCACACTTATGTGCCAAAGACCAGTTGCCTGTCTCTCTCTTTCTATATATATTTATGTCTTTATTAGATGATAGACTCTGTACACAAACAGCAGACATGATATTCACAACCTATACAACATTAAGAGTTCTTCCATTTCCCCGTCCCATTTCTTTCCTAGTACTAGAATGCATAGCCTATGTGTATATATATAAACACCAACACCCCCATGTACCAGGGATGCATTCAAAACTGCCCTTCTATCAGCTATTAACAAATGTACTCACAGTCACACAAGATTTTTTTTTTTGCAAATTAGTACTAAATAAGAATATTTGTAAATTCACATTATATACTGAAAGGCAAACCCTAACTCATTTAATCTGTATGTAAGAATTGCAGTCATATTAATAGGACAGCCCACTAGATGTGCTCTGGAGCTTCAACAGGCAACATTTTACAATGCTTTTACAGAGTCACACCAAAAAAAAAACGACTACCGAATAGTATCGATTTCTTGCCTCCTGATTTTGGCAGGGTTAAAGAACACTCTTAGGAGCACATGCTTTTAATATATAAGGATATTATCCCTGGCAATTTATACAGAGACTCCCTGTTAATTCTGGTGTGGTCTCTTAACATTCCCAGACAAACTATTCCTGCCTCCCTTTTCCACTTCATATTCTCCTATTCTCCTCTGTCAGAGTGTTGCACTGCAGCTAATATTGCACCTCCTGAGGAAGACTAAAGACCTGGAGCTGCAGCTCTCAGTGTCACTCCTGAAACAATCAGAGGAGTCAGTGTTGAGCAGCACAAGTCACTGCTCTTCAGGTGCCAAGTACCTAAAAATACACCCCAAAAGCATCAATAAATTAAAGCATTCAGCTTGCACTTAGGTAATAGAAAACTGAACTACAAAGCAACAATGAGCATCACGTAAATGCATCCAATACAATTTGCAGGCATAATTGAAAGCATTACTGCCTAATCAGACATCTAAAAGCAAAGCATGCTCAAACGAAATGTCTATAGACTCATTAGTTGGCAGCCATTCCATTACAATCACACATAATGTCAGTAGTGCCTTGAACCTGTGCCAATGACAACAGCATAAATTTTGCATCTCATTTCTGTGGTCATAAAATTAATGATCAGTTTAAAAATACTTCTTTGCAAAAGTTATTGCACAAAGAAATGACATGAATGTGTCCCTGTTATGTAGTCATGGGGATAATTAAGGAGTTGGTGCTCATTAATACAGTTTCTTGTTTCCCCAGAATACCATATGATTTATCAGGAACTTGAAAAAAAGTTTAATTAACGATAGATGTTTAATGGTTACAATACATAAGCACCTATGTACGCTCTTTTACCCTCCAATTTCTGCAACTTAAACTGTCCACTTACAAGCTTGATAGCAGAATCAGTTCTATATTATCCATAATAAAGCATGAACAATGTCTTTCCTTATTAAATGCTACCTTGTTTATTTTATATAGAAAATAATGCACACCTGTGATAAGCATACCACATTAAAACTAGAGCATTAAACACAAACTCTCTTCATTGCAGCAAGGGCTACATTTAATCCTCTGTTCTATATTCTGAAGATTTTCAATAGATTTTGTTGGTGTAATCTCAACAGAGCCACCAGGACCATATCACTTTATAGGGATCCAGGAAAAAAAAATCAAACTTCCTTTTTCCTCCAGAAATATATATATATTAAGCAATAATTCAATTACAGTAATGAACTCCGAAACACTAAAGACAGTGTTTCAGGTACTAAACCTAGAAGACAACAGACAAGACATTTTAGCTAATCATTTAGAGGCCCCGAAATGGGATCTTCCACCGTATTTCTAAAAAGTCTATGGAGAGGGATGTATACAAAAAATTGCTCGTCAGCTGTCTAAACATCCTTCATCTTGCCATTTCAGAAAGTCTGAAGTCACTGGATGTGACTAAGTCACACTAAGTCACAGCTCCAGACAAGTCACTGCTGTTGCAAGGACTATATAAACTCACCAAGTAAATAAACGCAAGATTCTCTCTACACCGTATTTCAAAAAAATAACTGGGTAAAGTTGTTTTCAAGCTCACATATGTGTACTTTAGCCTCTTGATGGCTGCAGGTGATTTTCAACAAGTTTCTACTGACCCAATCTAATGAACTTTTTCCTGACCACTTTCTCAAAATATCCTTTGTCATGCAAATAGTTCTAAGCACTCTTCTTGAAGACTCTTCTAAATACCCACATTAACACGATGGCTTTAAATTGCTAAAAAGAAAACCTTTACAAATTGCTTAAACCTTTAAACTGCTACTTGGCCTTTATAAAACAAGCACTCATTTTCCAAACACTCCTGAGATGGCACTAGGTTTGCAGGCAAACATGCTTCGAGCACAGGAAAGCAACGTAACCTGCACTTGCTGGGTACACGGTGACGCTGCCTCTTGTCTGATGGGGCACATCAGGATCAGACCATGCTGTGCTGCACTGGTGGTTGCCTGAAATCATGCTTGGCCTAGGCACTTCACAGGTGACAGCTCTGGAGAGCTGAAAGGGACAACACAGCGACTTGCCTACATAGAACACTCCAGCCCTCCAGGATAAAATGCATCTGGCACATTCCTCCTTCCTGTGATGGTCTCTCCAGAAAGGGTCATAATGATCCTCAGAGGATGGGGTAACAACTAAGCAGTACTTTTTCCATTTATGTTATAGTACTAATAATGTATTCATATTCCTGATTCAGAAATTTCACCTGTGTTAAAATATACTACTCACATCTACATGCTGCTATGACCAAAAGCTAGTGCAGCCTTTCCTCAAGTCCAAAAAGACTTCCAAATCCCTACAGCCATTTCCTAGAAAACAGAATGTACAGAGACAAAAAAGGAAATAACACCCTCCCTACAAAACAGTACTTTTTCATCCCAGTATCCAGATGAAAGAGAAAATAAAAAGTCTTTGCATATATTGCTACTTTATCAGCTTGACTATATCCAGGAAGCAGGTGTCTCAAGCCCCAGACACTCATTTTTCCGTCAGGAGCCACGGAGGCCTCTGACGCATTGACAGGTTTCCTAGGGTTGCTCCTGGTAATCAGGTGAGAGCACTGACACTCCAGGAACGCAGGTTTACCTTCTACCATGCCAAAGCAAAATGAAAATTAAATGGACCTTCATCGGCTTTTATCAGACTCAAAAGCCATAATTCAGCCTAAATGCCAAATCAAACATTTTCTGCATAAGTACTACCAGAGGCGGATAGGAGTTGCACCAAGCGCTTTACAGACAACTTGTTCTACAAATTTGCATGCTATGACTGCATTTGTCTAGTGCTTTTGGTGTCTCATTTTCAACATAAAGCCAAAATTCTTCATGAAAAGTGCATAAATATATATATATATTGCTAGAACAAATG